TGAGGGTTTTGCCATGAACTCGGCGGCCCTAAGCTTGCTTTCAGTGAACATTGCTTGGTTTTTCCATCTTCACAACAACTGGCAGCTTCGAGAGATTGGAGAGGCTTGCAGGTTTGATCATTGTGATGATAAAATTGCCGTGTAAATCGGTGAATCACGTGCGCTCCCTGGTCTATGATGTGGGAGCTGTCCCTCCTCCCCTCTCAGATGGAACATGTGAAAGTAAAAACTAAATTCCTAAATTACTCCGTCTTTATATTGTTCTTGTTCGTGCTCTACATTCCTTAAATTCAATAATAAAAACTAAATTCGCTTGGCCGTGTATTCTGAAGGGACGACACACAACAATTCAAAAGATAAAAAAGGGAAAACAAACAAAAGGGCAGGGAAATGTGGCTTGTTGTCTCGGACTGGCTCTGGAAGCTCTGTGGCTTTTGTTTTGTACACATCTCCCTCTTTGGGACTTAGGACATGTTGGACCAACGGTGGTTTCCCTTTTTAGGCCCTCCACACACACACACACACACACACACAACACACACACAGCACTCAGAACACCACACCACCACACACCACACCACACACACACCACGCACACACACCAACACACCACACACACACTCACACTCGGAGAGAAGCACCCAGCACATACCCACTCCTCAAAGGACACACACACCACACACACCACACTCACACTCACCCAGAGAGACACACAACTTCAGAGCGACCCCACACACACACACACACCACCACACACACTACACTCCACTCAGAACTACACACACAACCACACCAACACACACACCACTCAGAGACACACACCCACACACCAACACACACACACACAGACACACACACACACACACACACCACACACCCACACACACCCCACCCACACACACCCAGCCAGCAAAGGGCAGTGGGTTTGAGTGCTCTGAGGAAACCAAACCCTATCCACAAACACAACGTCATACACCACTGAGAAAGCTCATTTAATAGCCCATTCTCAATCTATTCCTATTAAGTAACTGGTCAATAAACTTTTTCACGCTCACACACCCTTTTTTAAGTGTTGTTTGATGACAGAAGTTCAGTTTTGGCTCACCTCCCGCGTCAAAAGCCATTCAAAGAGCTCATTCCAACGGGTACAAGGTGGCTTTGCACACATTTTCTTTATAAATCTGCACTCCCCTGAGAAGGACGTCACGTTCTGCAAAGTGTCAATATGCCCCTTCCTCTAAACTCCAACCACGGTATACACCATACACCTGTTGTGTGTTTTTCCTGAACCTCCTCACCTGGTGGAAAGGTCTCCCCGGAGGGCGTGCTCTCGTGACTAATCCTCACGCGTGTTTATCTGCCCCACTGCCCTTTACCCTAAACCCACATCGTCAGGGGAAGGGGTTTCCAAGTATTAGTGAGCCACAAGTTGATAACACTTTCTAACAAAGCTTAGTTGATAAAGCCCAATAACTTTTTTGCATAGCAAGCTTGAAACATACCCTTCCTTTGCCCCTTATCCCCCCTAACAGTGCTGTGAAGGGAGATACAAAGCAATCTTAGGTGTCTGTTTTAAGGGGTTGAGCTGCCAAAATGAAAATAATTAAACCCTGTTAAAAGAAAGCTATGATGTTGGCTGTTTAGGTATAAGTTTATTCAATTATCAAGAATAATTTACCTAATTTGAGTGATTTTGCTCACTTATACTCAACTTAAAATAGGCATTATAGTTGGTGGAGTTTGGTCAAAGAGCGCTTTCCGAATAAGCCGTGAACCTAAACCCTCACGAGATAGGTGCAGCCCACAATCCCATTATTTAAGATTTAAAAAAAAAAAAGTTGGGATTAGAGTTAGGGTAAGACTGGCAGATTAGTGGATATGGTGATCAGATGGGTGGTAAATGTCACCATATGTTATACAAGCCGCTCAACACGCTCTTTTATTGCGTGTGTTGCCTATGCTGTGTGTTATGGGGTAATTTCTGACAAGATAAAAATGCCGTTCAATCACAAATAAATGAATCACTGACAAGAGTTAATACTTTTGGTTTTGTTACGACCCCCGTCCGGTCACAGTCTGCCTTTTTAATGTTGAGCGAACGGCTCCATGAAAATGTTTACAGCAGCTGCTCTGTTGTGGTTGCTATACGGAGACGGGGCCAAACTGCAGACACGGGCACATCTGATCCGAGCGTATCTCCGTACTCTGCAACTGTAGAGTAATTCAAGCCCTGCAGTCGCTTAGGAGAGCACTGACTGAATGTGAGAGGCTCCTGATTGGTTTACAGGCATTGTTTGTTTCCTAAGGATGTTATGGAACCGCTTCTACACCGGCTTTGACTGAGCGTCTGTAGGATATCTACAACATGTTATTGGCAAAGTAGACAAAAACAATTGTAAATGGGATTATTCTCTTTTTTTTTAATGGAAAAATATAACGGATAAATGCAAAGGTCCCAAAATTAGTGAGCCAACTCCCTTTTGGCTTGAACTACTGTTATGGAACCACTTATACAGCAGCTTTGACTGAGCTTCTGTAGAATATCTTCAAAATTGGCGAAAACTAAACAAAACTGGATTTTTCTTAATGGAAAAATATAACGGATACGTGCAAAGGTCCCAAACATCTTCAGTTCGCTCTGGTTTGAGTGAACTCACGCCTTTTTGATATTTCCTACTGTATGGAACCGCTTCTACACCAGCTTTCATTGAGCGTCTGTTATAAAAATCCCCAAAATGCTATAGGAAATGTAGACAGACACTAGAAGCAACGGAGAAAAACGAAAATCTTCAGTTCGCTCTGGTTTGAGGAAGCTAACTTCTTTTTGACTGCGATATTTTACAGTAATTGAAAATACTAATTGAATTGAAATAGGAGTAAAAGTATGTTTTTTTGTCTATTAATCAATCTCATATTTTCCTATAAATTCCATTGATGGCAATTTAAGGATTATTCCCTTTGGAAATTAATCTGGGGGTTGCTTTCCTGATCTATTGTTGAGGTATTTGGTCTATACATACTTGCCAGAAAATGTTATTGTGTTTCTCAAAGCCCAACATGATGACCTCAAATGTCTCGTTTTGTCCACAACGAACCATAGCTTTCACTTGAATGTCATAAAGGAAAAATGTAAATATTCACAGATTAAATATAAATAGTTTGAATCGATTAGTCGTTCCATCTCTTATTTGATCAACTCCAGGAGAAAATGTATACCGCCTCAACACTTTGAAGCTATGAACTTTGTGGTGTATTTAGGCTCCTGTGAGCAGCAACAGGGAATAAATAGCAGAGACGCACCAATCATCTTGAGACCAGAGTCGAAGGGGTCAAAGGTCACATGTCTCATGTCAAGGCCTCAGTTTCTATGTAAGGGATAATGTGCAGCGAGGCGGTCATTATGGGGAAAAGAACACCCGACAGGCAGATCAGGAGCGAAGCGGAGGCATCTTGATCAGCCTGACGTACTAAAACAAACTCAAACAAACTAAGGAATCGACTTCATATATTAATTGAAATTATTTTATTGACTTAAAAATGATCGTATTTCTTCCGCTAAGAACTTTCTCTTTCTTGATCCTCCTTAGCAACGGTCAATAAGTCCTTCACAGCGATCTGTACTACTGTATTAACAACCTGTCACGTGTTCTGAATTGACCAATCAGAATTGAGTATTCAACTAAGCCGTGTAATAAGTGTGAATGAATGCACCCCCCTCTGAACCGCAGGGACCTTTAGCTTCCACTTTATGTGTCATGTTTATTTGTGTCTAAAGGGCAGTGTGACTTAATTTTACAATGAAATAAAGGTTAGTGTCGTGGCTTCCTCCCTTTGTTTCCAATCGAGCCACTTGGACGCCTTAAACAGACATTTTTAATGCGTTATTTTTCTCACAAAGAAAGCAGGCCTTTACAATAGTCAAACGAATCAAAACCAAAGAGGCAAAACTCAAATAAAGTTATAAACAACTTGGATGTTCTTTCTTTCTTGAAGTTGTGTAGGATAAAATAAAAATAACGGTTAAAAACTGTGTCTCGGTGCAGTCTTTCACACAGGTTGCCCATATCTGTGTCTCTTAAGAGGGTGGCATTGTGGGAAATGTAGTCTTTTATAGTCTCTGCTACCGGTTTTGATTAGGCGACAATATTTGGCCTTTTTTACAATAACCCAAGTTGCTAAACACTTCTGAAACATGTGCTTTCTTCTCCAGGTGTTGCTGGTCAGCAGCAGCCGGCACCCGGACCAGTGGATTGTGCCCGGGGGGGGGATGGAGCCGGAGGAGGAGCCGTGTGGAGCCGCAGTGCGCGAGGTGTTCGAGGAGGTGAGGAACAAATCAAAGCTTTTTGTTTCTCCCCGTCTAAAATAAGGTCGTTCTGTACGATCGATAACTGAGCTATACGATACATAAGGGATAATGTGCAGCGATTACAGCAATAATGACCGCTAGCTCTCCGTCTTTTAACCTCTTTCCTGTCCTCTCCTGATCCTTCTTAGCAACGGTCATTATTTTGCTTAGCAACGGTGTGTTATCGGACATTAACAACCTCTGAAATGTTCGATGCTTTTCCTGGTGCTCAAAGCGCTTTACAAGCAAGTAAAGAAGAACAATAACAACAAAAGTAAAAAGTGCTAAGCTAGGTGGAATAAGGGCGAGGCGTTAGTGGATTAGGAGTTGAAGGCAAGAGTGAAAAGGTGAGACGGAGAGATCGAAATACCGTTTCCCACAATCCCAAACGTCTTTCCTTCTATCCCTTCATCCTTCTTAGCAACGGTCATTATTTTGCTTAGCAGCGGTGTGTTATCGGGTATTAACAACCTCTTAAATGTCGGAACTGACCAATCAGAATCGAGTATTTAACTAAGCCGTGTAATAAGATACGATATGAAACGCTGGAAAGGAATTTAGTTTTGGACTCCTTGGTCCTGCATTTCAACAAAAGATAAAACAAATCATAAATACAACATAGTCCATTTACCCTAATACAAGATAAAAGAGAATAGCTTATTCACACATGACTTACACTACAAGTACACAGTTTGCACATACATGTATACACAGACAACGTACTGACACTGACTGCTGAGAAGCTGAACGGACATTTAACCTGCTTGCTCATACATCTAAATATTTATAGATGGTTGAACTTGGCAGTTGAACACCAAAGAATAGTTGTTTTTACCGCGTTTGATCTTTAGCCTCACCCCAACACCATCTGTCCGTCCAGCAGGTATTCAGAGCATGGAAACTATTCGCTGTGTAAATGTCTCGCTGTTAAAGCTTCTTGTAAAAGACCTCAGTCATGCAACCCTATGACCTGCAGGATCTTCATACAGTGCTACAAATCAGGGCTATTATGTTGTTTTCACAGTTTATTTGATAGGGATGGAAACAATATACATAGATACATCAACTAAAAACAGCTATCGCATGAAAGTATGTGTTTATAGCTTGTTTGCAACACCTGTCGCAGGTAGAGCTGGAACAATACATCTAAGACTAATCGATTAGAAAAAATAATTGTAAACAATTTTGATAATCTTAACATCCATCCATCCATCTTCTCCCGCTTATCCGTGGTCGGGTCGCGGGGGTAGCAGTTCCAGCAGAGAGCCCCAAACTTTCTTTTCCCTGGCCACATCAACCAGCTCTGACTGGGGGATCCCAAGGCGCTCCCAGGCCAGCGAAGAGATATAATCCCTCCACCTGGTCCTAGGTCTACCCCTTGGTCTCTTCCCAGCTGGACGTGCCTGGAACACCTCCCTAGGGAGGCGCCCAGGTGGCATCCTAACTAGGTGCCCAAACCACCTCAACTGGCTCCTTTCGACGCGAAGGAGCGGTTCAACTCTGAGTCCCTCCCGGATGACCGAACTTCTCACCTTAAAACATGACACAGCGAAATATTAAAAGATATCAATTGAGACTTTCCACTATAAACTGACATTTTATAGACCTATCGACAGGTGATGTTGACTTTAATAACAGAAAAGTATAATAATAACAGTCTATAAGTACACCTTTTAGATATAGTCATAGCGCACAAAAAACCTAACATCATTGGTGTTTCTTTTTTTTTTGTATTTAATTACATTATGAAAGACAAATTGCACTCCAGTTAACTTTGGCTAGTAACAGCACAATGCTACCTTAAATTGTATTAACATTATACCGTAAATTCTTTGCTTGGAGGGGGGGAGCTACAGGCGGTCAAAGCTCATTGTAGGAGCCATTTATGTTAATTGTTGGCATGTTGATTTATTTTGTTTATATTTACAATGCAATATTATTTTTGAACACATGGTGGTGGGGTTAAAGTGCACAGGTTGTATAAATTGGGTCAAAGGTGACCAAAAAAAGGGTCAGGTATTGTTCGAACTCTTCAATAAAGATCGAACTAAACTGCATCCAACGACCGGAAATGCATCTGTTTGTGACGGCGTAAAGATCAGTCTCTCCCCTAATAATGGCAACTGGAATATAGGGGAAATCGACCGCTTTAATTCCCATTACACTCATGGTTACAGGGGCACTGGCCACCTTCGGCCCCCCTTTAGATCCGCCCATGCATTGCGGTGCAGATGTCTATTCCCAGTAGAGCAGGAGCAGTTGTCGGCAGTATACGGAGGGTGAGACCTTCAGAGGGCCACGGTGTCAGTATCTGGGTGACTGAGGGCCCTCCAATCGGGAACCTTGTGTTCTCAGCAACGTCAGCGATCTAAACTCGGCACCTCATTGGATTCCTGAGCTCTCATGAATCCCGCAGCCCCGCATTGGTGGGACAGATTGACACTTGTGAAGTATGCTGAGCAGGGGATGGATGTCACGTACCCTGCCAGTAATGTGACTCCTGTGAATTAATAAAGCAACTGTTAAGGGGCTATGAAAGAGACATAATTACATTTCCCCACTGGTAGTTGTTCAGGATTCATGCCGTGTTCAAGGCATTACTGAGGACTGCACGTGAAATGATTTGATCAGCACTGCTGGGAGTCCTTGATCAATACACTTAGAAATCATTAAGATAACCTTACTTCAAGTAGCTGTGAGGCCTCGGAGGACACAAGCGAACTTTAAAAAAGATCTCAGCGTTATTCTGTAGTGTGCTCCTGAAAGTTTTAGCGTTGTCAAGCATTACTACATCCGAACAAAGCCAGAGAGGGTACAAAGACTTCAGTACAGCTGGTCCTTTAAAACATTGACAAGTAAAACACAAAACCAATTGTTCTGACGCAGAACAGAGTCTGTGTTTGATCAACTGTTCTGTGTCCTCTTCTGTCCTTTTGTGTTGGAAAGAAGTGAGTTTCTCATGATTTGTGATTTACTTCCTCAGGCCGGTGTGAAGGGCCAGCTAGGACGTCTGCTGGGAGTATTTGAGGTAAGATTTCACAGCTTTATCTTACTTTACTTGCATCAAAAGTGCTGAATCTGAGGTCCATCCCTTCTTTAAAATCAAGGCTAAAAACCTTGCTTTTCCAAACTATGTTTTAACATTGTTCTTCAGCGCTTCTTGCAACATTATGTGTATTCACAATGTCTCTTTTTTTAACTCATTTCTTTGCCTTTGTGTCTGAAATGCTTAATATAAACCAACTAACCTTAACCACCACCATTTTTATGATCATTCAGTCTCATTTTCGTCTGATTTCTACAGCAGAACCTGGACAGGAAGCACCGGACGTACGTTTACGTGTTGACCGTCACCGAGACCCTGGAGGCCTGGGAGGACTCCGTCAACATCGGTACGGCAGCTTCTCACGAGTGTCTGCAGGGGCTGTGGTGTCTGTATTTAGGCAAATAAGAGACATGAGTATTTACAAGCCACTGAGTAATTGATGGTGAAATACCACAGATGTCATAGAAATATATTTACCCGCCCAGAGAGTGACTCTGGCATTGATTTCTGTCATCAGTGCGATCCTAAATGACATGACATTGCATTTAGCTGACGCTTCTATCCAAAGCGACGTACAGTGAGTGCAGTCCATAAGGATTCAAACTATAGACAACAAGAACAGTGTTGACATTTTCAATTCAAACACACTCTTTGGGCCCCTGGGGGGTATACTACAAGCTGGTTCAACCTAACCTGGATATGTTTGAGTTAGCCGGTTGGCCTAATCCAAAACATACGCGCTCTCGCTAAACGGTACTACGACGCGGGTTATCAAGTGGATCGCTCAAGCCAGCCGTGTCCTATCTAGTTAGGTTCACATGAAAGGGGTGGTATCTGGAGCATTCGACNGCAGTGTCTAATTGTAGCAGTAAGCTAACGAGAGGCTACGTTCAGCTGGTGACTTCGGAGTCGGGACAGAGAATATTTCAGGAGTTTGGAAGTATTTTAAAATTTAAAGCGAAGGCAGTGTAACAGCCAGATGCAATNGACCCACTCGTGTCTTATCAGGGACAGTGATATCATAAACCTGTTAATGTACGCATTCAAACACTTTTTCTTTTACCAGCTGTATTCACCTTGCAGGTGCAGCTATGTGGCTTTGATCCTGGATAAAGTGTTTAAGTCATGCACCTGCAAGGTGAATACAGCTGGTAAAAGAAAAAGTGTTTGAATGCGTACATTAACAGGTTTATGATATCACTGTCCCTGATAAGACACGAGTGGGTCTGACTTTAATTACATTTGACTCGAGTGTTTCGTCAACTTAATGTGTTGCTTCAAATAATACTTCAGCATATAGTAGCCGATGTGACACTGTGAGTGTTGCACGGCCAGATACGGCTCAGCTGACTCAGATAAGGAGATATATGATCCATTATGATGTGATATGCCGCGGACTTTACTTAATGTTACTCTGATCCGGGTTACTTACTGTATGTTGTGGCAGATATTTAAGTAAGCTTTCTTAACGCTAATGTTATAATAGTCAGATTGCTCTGAAGATGGGAGGTGATATTCTATTAATGTTCACGTTCACACAGTCGGTGATTTTGGCCGGCCGTCTTTCCTGCAACGGCAGCTTTTCTGTGTTTCCTTAAACCTGTAATATGACTTGATCGCTTTAAACTCCGCACACTGAGCTCTGATTGGTCAGCAGGCAGTGCTTTCACTGAGTTGAGCTCTTAGCCTGCAACCTAACCTGGTCCCGACCAGGTTAGCCACACAGCCTAAGTTACCATGGAGATCTAGCCTGCTAAAAAGAGAACCAGCTTCGTAGAACCGGAAACACCGAGTTTTCCCTGAAGTTAGCCGGCTAAGCGAAAATCCTGCTTCGTAGTATACCCCCCTGGGCTTGAGTTGGCATTGCATTTTCTGTTATCCCAATCAAAACATAGTCTCTAGATTACTACCAGAACAAAGTATCTAAATGGATTTGTCTCATTGAAATTTAAAATACAACATCTCTTTGATTTTCTATTTTAAAAGCTGAATTTTCAGATTGAACATCAGTCAAACTGGATTGGTCATTTTTAACCTTAATAATTAGATCTGAAATTTGTAATCCCAAATCAAAACATTTCTAAATTTGCTCAGGAGGAGAATTCAGAACAAGTACATTAAAATGCATAATTTTAAAAGTAAAATATTCCTAATCTACGACTTCAATGGTGATTAAAACTCTAATGTTATTTACAGGCTGTTAAATCAAACTCTCACGTCTCTTATTTACTTCCATATCTGTGTTTCTCTTTGCTCTGCAGAGGACAGCTTTTACAGAACCATGTTTTGTATTAATGTGAAGGCCAGAGATTATACTGGTGTGGGGGCACGCAGTGACAACAGGAGATAAATCCTCTCTCTGTCTGCAGGACGCTCCAGCTGTCAGTAGCATGTAGGCTTCACTGTGTATGCTCTCAGTGGGGAGCATCCTCCACCTGTCACTGCTCCACACACACTGTTTATTACTGCATGTTAGCACGCTTTTAGAGGTGTATATGCCTTGATTTCATGACCATTATATGATGGTTATATTGGTGCGGACCAATTGGCTTCACACACACTTCCTGTTGTGAAGGCCTTCTGCAAAACACTTCAGCTCTGCAGCATCACATGGCACTTCCTGCTTTCAGTGAACCATTTCTAACCTGTAAAAGATAAGAGAACATATTAAAGATTATAATTTCCTTATTCTGTATCGCATGCTAGACACAATGGCTTTGACACGATGTTAGATCAGGTATAGCATATCATTGCTTTATTATTGCAATATATTTAGGGATGCAAGGACATCCTTTTCAAGCTACTACACTACTTTTTGAGAGCTATTTTGCTTCCAGTGTTTCAGATTCCTGGAGTCATTTTGTTGTCTATTTTACTACAACCTAAATTCATGAGAACGTAGCATTAGCATTATAGCATCAGTACTAGATAATGCCTCATTTGCATGTATAAAGATAACATTTCAGAAAATGTGCAATACAAAGAAAATATATCATAATGTATGTTTTTTTTTTATTGTGATTTTTTTTATGCCGTTAACAGTTTTATTCAGATTTATGGAATCGAAATTCTCTTTTAATATGATCACAAAATAATAGTTAGTAACATGTGTTTGAACCCCGCTTTATCCACAGTTTCAGTTTCGTACATGTATGCAATAATGCACAAATTTAACGTGATAGATAGATGGATGGATAGGTAGGTAGGTAGGTAGGTAGGTAGGTAGGTAGGTAGGTAGGTAGATTGATGGATGGGTAGGTAGGTGGGTAGATAGGTAGGTAGGTAGATTGATAGATAGATAGATGTTCCTGAAAATTGAGAATGGTTTAAATGCCTCTTTGAAAATGTAAAAATTATACAACATTAAATGTGGTTAATAAACCTCAGGAGTTTCCCGGTGGTGTCGGTCAGTCAGTGGGTGTTTCCTGTGTGTCACGCTGCTCTCTGTCTCCCCCTGCAGGCCGGAAGCGGGAGTGGTTCACGGTGGACGAGGCCATCAGAGTGCTGCAGAGCCACAAACCGGTGCACGCAGACTACCTGCGCCGGCTCCAGCTCAGCTGCTCCCCCACCAACGGGAACTCCATCCTCCCGGGACCCCCCCCAAACGACAACTACCCCCATTACAGCGCCACGGCAACCACGCCCTCGACGGGCAGCGTGCTGGGCTCCTCCTGCAGATAGGACTGAGCTTCCTGTCACTCAAAACGCCTGTACAGTCTTGCATGAATCTAAATGACTCTTTCCTTTACCGTATAACTTGTAGTCGTAGCTGCAGGACAGACCAAAGCCATCACCAGAACTGATTCAGTCTCGCGTGACGGAGCAGGAAAACTGTGGATATCTCAAGAACACTTTTTTTTGCTGGAAACACCACACTCTGCTGGAGTTACTGAGCTGTCGAAGGAATGCCTTACACAGAATCTGTATGAATGTTGTCTTTGGGTCATTTTAAATCACCGACGTCGTTTTTTTTGTTGCAGAATGGATATGCTTTCTAGTCAATAAAAGGGGTAAGTGACCCTAAAGCCATGTCCATGTAGGGAATGTTTCCATATTCTCAACCAATGAGGACATAGGGATATATCATATTCACATTACACTACAAAAAGGGATTTTCTTTACACCATGTCAGCATTAATTATCCAAATGGTCCTAAAATTTAAGATGAGAAAGCCACCACAACATCTCCTATCAAAACATTGGAGGAATCAGAAGTCCTTTGATTGTCCCTCAAAGGGGAAATGTACATAGATAAAAAATATATATAAATGGCATGCATGAAGTATATAAAATCAAAATGACTACAATTTAACAGGAGAACACATTCAGGTAGATAAGGAAGTGGCATGGTGGTGAAAAGTAAATAATGACATCAGTGAGTGGATACCTCGGTAAAGTGAAAACGCTGAGTCATGTGATCGATATCCTTTAACACTACACTGCTGTGTTCCTGGTTAACATTCAGCCAATGTCTCGTGACGTTAGCATTAACCTTGTGTTACCGTTGCCATGCTGTCACAGTGGAAGTATTTAAAGGTACATCTCTACGTGCTTTTAGGGTCATCGATTCTATTCAAATGTGCTAATTAAAGAATTGGATTGTCTTTCAATGAAGATGATCTGAAGTGAATTGCTCTATCTATCACTATGAAGCTGTTATATCACGTCTCATGGTGTTATAAGGTGATATCAGACCACAAAATAACATTTTCCCTGTACAATATGATTGTTGTTTTGCTTGTAACTAGGATTACTTGCGCCTCGGCTGCAACTACCAAGTATTTTCATTATTTCAAAGTGAAAACACAGCTATCACTGGTTCAAAATGTAGAAGTAATGCATTTTATATCAATAGAAAGTCATGTTTTTTTGGTACTGCCTGAACAAGTGCAATTCTGGGTGCTCAATTAAAGGCATAAAATGATCCTTTGAACGTTTTCGAACCTACTTTTTCATCAAAAAGACAGAAATCCAAATCCGAAATGGCTCAAATTGGCGGTTAAAAGTCCCATTTCAGGTCATTATTTTGTGTTTTGTATATTTTTCACACATATCGTCGCTGAAAAAGAGACTCTCACTCCCTCTTGTGTCGACGGCTGAATGACGACTCTAGAGATTTGTAAATAGCTTTGCAGAGAAACATTGAAAGTGTTTTTAACCTGAATGTACCTGTAAAATGTCTCTTAATATTTTATATATTTTTTAACTATGTGTAGGAGAAAACAAGCGAGAGCGGTGTGTACAGAATATTTGTATTGCTGACAATGTGCCAAGGGTTTAACTGTGAAGGAGACATGGCAAAATTCACAAGTTTGTCAGGATGGTATATAAACATTAGATCGGCCAAAAAATTAACAACTGAATCTTTAAAATTTTAGAGATTTGGGGGTAAAGAAAATATTTTTTTTAACAGCTGATTAACTCAAAAACGAATATAGGTGTAACATTAGATTTTTTTTTACAATATAAAATGAAGTGCAGCTTTTGGTAAATAAAGTCTGGACAGTAAGGGAATGCTTAAAACCACAGACACATTTTGATGTTACCGTTTATTCCCACTGTTCAGAAGGAGTGTAACATATCTCTTAAGTTTTCTCCATGCTTCAAAACGTCCCAGAGTTTCGTCGAATCTGCTTAAAATCGGACAAATCTGATCAACTCTGCCTTGTTCGACTGGTAAAGTCCAAACACCTCAAACCTGTGTGTGTGTGTAAGTGTGTATTGTGGGTTGATGAACATGAAATACTATGTGCCAAAAAAAAATTGTCAGATGGGAACATTTTGGATGTCAATTTATACTGACTATAATGATCAAGGTGGATAATTCATGAAATTACACGATATAATCATTTCTAATGTTAAAAAAGTGCATTTTTTAATGATTGACTGCATCCTTCATGGTTGAAATTACAACTAAGGAAGCACTTTTTTTGGTATTGTGATTCAACTGAGACCATCTCACACTACATTCAACATTTAATTTAAACCCATTAATCTTCATATCTAATGCTGAAACACCTCCTTCCTCCACCTATTGGACCCTCTGTTTGATGCGTGGGTCATTGGATGAGTCTTTTATGAGTAAAGCATGAGATTTAAATTAAAAACACCACGATGAAATGTATGTGCTCAACAATGTAAGACACCGGCGTCCACTAAATGTTGGGATTTGGATGTCACACGGATGTATCCAGAGCGAAGATTTCTCACTGTTATCGTCATGAGTATTATGCACAGAGACGTTTAATGTAAAAGACACGAGGACTGGAACGATGTTTTTTTTGCGAAAAGATTGCATTAAAGGGGAAAAATCTTGTTGTAACTGTGGCTGAAGTTTTGTTTATTTATACCATATGCTCTGTTCCAAAAATGTCAACGATTTGGTAAATATTTCAGTAGCTCAGCAGCTGTTGTGTTTTTTAATCCCATGGAAACGGTCATTGTTTTTGAGTCATGACTAGATGAACCTGCTTTAAAGGCCTCGGGGGGAAATGTGTGTTTCTTCCCGCCAACGCCCCCCATTCAGGGATGAGCACCTGTACAGGTCGGTCATTTTTGGGCTGGACAGTTTGCTCAGAGTCAGATGACACAGAGCTGAACAACTAATTTTTTTTACCCAGGAACCACATTTGCATAAATCCACAAGTTAACACACCTAGAGTAAGCCTTAAGGAGCTTTACCTAGAATCCAGTTCTGTTTGCACGTGATTATTAAACAAGTCGTAACATCTTTAATGGACCCTATTATGCTCAGGTTGTTATTTGGGATTTTTCTTTTATGAGTGAAGCCTAACAATAAAGATAAGAATAGAATGGTGATGATGTAATAAAACATGGACCGGAGAGTGGCCCATTTGAGCTGACTTAACCCCAGAGGTGGAAAGTAACTAAGTACATTTACTCAAAGTACTGTACTTAATTACACATTTCAGGTACATTTCAGTATTTCAATGTTGTGCTGCTTTTTACTTCTAACCCACTACAATTCAGATGTAAATGGTGTACTCCACTACCTTTACCAGCTTTGATAACACTTTAATGATCAATAATTATAAAACATATCCAATCTGCACAATGACTACTTTAAATATATTGTGATGCTAATACTCTTGTACTTTTACCTGAGTAACATTTTGAATGCAGGACTTATACTGAGTACTCTGGTACTTCTACTTTTACTTTTACTTCTACTTCTCTCACCTGTGTACTTGAGTAAATGTAGTTACTTTACACCCCTGGTTGTAATAACGATCCCTGCCTGCAGCGTCACCTGACACCTCAGGTGAATCTCCTGTAAGCCCCGCCCCTCATATAGCCACGCCCCCATGCGTCATATCATCCAGAGGAACAACAAAGCAGGACTTCATCGAGTTTCTACCTGTCGAGTCAAATGAAGCGTCCGAGGTAAACTAGATTGGTTTGGATCAGCTCACGATGGACGAGGTGTTCTTTAAGTCTGCTCTACCCGCTCAGGACGGTCTGGCTCTGGGGGACAGCAGCCTGGCTCTGCCCGGTCCCGGGTCCGGGTCTGAGTCCCAGCTGCGAGTCCAGCAGCAGGTCCAGCTCACTCTGGCCCGGAAGACGAGGAAGACTGTGTCAAATGGTAATGTATCTGAACACTGTGAATGAATGGAGGCCCTATTTACACTAGCTATCACACAAAGGCTCTCAGATATCAGATATCAGAATCAGAATCAGAAACGGGTTTGTTACCAGGTAGGTTGACAAGTACGAGGAATTTGACTGTACGTAAAACAAGAATAAAAAAAAACAGATAGAGGATTTTAAGAACACTATAGTAACATTTACATTGAAACAGAATGGAATTAAAATATGTGCAGCAGGGTCGTGCACAGACATTTTGAGGGGCAGGAGCTCAAATGAGAAAAAGGGCACTTCCCATAATCATTTATAAAAAATGTAACCAAAAAGTTAAATATAGTTGCACGTCTCTGACTTACTGACCAATTTATTTTAATACAAATTAATGTAACAAACCTTGCTTTAATTAAACCGGTCCCTTTAATACTAAATATAGAAAGTGATAAACAACAGAAATAAACACAAAACATAGAAAAAGCGACCAAGAGGTCGCCCGTGACCCGAGTGTCCCTCCTCCCCCCCGTCCTCGAGTTGTTGCGGCACATCCTGTCTCTCATTATGTGTATGAATAGTCTCTACGACATACTTCTTGTTGTTACACTCAAACCTGTAAACTTGTTACATGGAAGCAAGAATCATCTAGGAGTGTTACCTTAAATCTAGTCATCAATTACCGGCACGTACCCTGGAAATGAGATATAGTATAAATATGTCTTGTTATGTGGTCATTTAAACGCATTCTATAGTGGGAGTTATAATAAGTAAAGACTGAAAACAGGGATTGTAATAACTTAGTAGAACACCAAATTTGTGTATGCTGTGTGGATCAAGACCGTCAAAAAAACACAATACACACATACATTCCTGTTAGGTTCGACAGAACTTGTTTAACAAAAATGCAAAAGCTTACTCTGATTGTGTCTACAAAACAATCTGTAGTGTTTATGTATTATTTATATAAAACACCGAAACCCACTGTACAGGCATAAGGCGCTTAATTACTTTGACCGTCTTGACACTTGTCCGCCCTGACTTCGAAAACGTAGGTACCTTACGGACCATAAACTATCAATTACATCGTCTGGAAGGTGTCTTGTGTAGGGACTATCTCATGCCCTGTCACACGTCACAGAACCACAGTACGCCTGTTCTAACAACAAACATATTTTTATCATACAAAATTAAAACAAACAAAATAAATCGTAAAAGTGACAACAGTCGGACATATCACTGGATCCAAAATAAGTGAAAAAATTTACATGTAAATAATAAATCGCCAATAAAATGTTTAGACAGTTTTCTGATATAAAAAAATAAAATATAAAATAAATCTTTATTCACAAAAAGACTAACATACAAAATAATCTTAGATATCATTTGGAATTTCAAGTGCATAGTACGATAAAAATCCGTTATCGTATCCAGAGTGCTATTAGTGTATATATTTTTTTACAGATCTTCACCAAACGAGGTTTATGGTTTGTCTAGTGGGTAAGATGGTGGCGGAGATAGGGAGATAAAGTGCAAGAGCAAAAGTTTTCACGACTAATACATATTCGAAATTTTTTTTATTCTAACCTATTTTTAAATTTTCCCTCCCAGACTCCGAGTCGCCCTTGTGGCCGTCGATGACAGTTTGATTTATGACGCACTACTTTGCGTATAGTACCTAATAGTTCCTAGAGAACTTTGTCGAATACCTCGAGTTTCCCGAAAGAGAGAACGGCCAATATGGTGTTTCCACTCAAGAGGAAAAATAAAGGACGAAGAAGTGTGTGTACGAGAGGTCATGTCCAATCGAGACTCACAATCGCCTACGATGTACATTTTGTGGCTGGTATAATGCAGGTTTTGTCAGCCCGTACAAAGCTATCGTGCAAAGACTATCCCGCACCAGGGTAAAGTCTATACATGCAGTATACGCCCGCGTAGCCCTAGTCGAGGCAACATCGGGGCAAAAAATCTCTAAAACTCCATGCCTCTTTCTTCTCTCCCAAAAAAAAGACTGCTGACGCACTCAATGGGGCTGTTGTTGGCCCCTGTGTACAATACATATTTTCTTTAGTTTTCACGTATAAACGTACTATCCAGGGGAAATTTATTTTTATTTTTCTCTAATTTATTCATTTTATAACAAAACGTGAATTTCCCGGGTACAGTACGAAAGACCAATGAATGGGCAGGGGAAACACACAATACTTCGTAAAAAGACGTACATTTGCCAGACGGTCTCAGTGTTTGGGAGTTTCATGGGACATTCGCTCATTTTAGATTGTGCTTTCTGGACAGAACGACGGGTCTTGCGGAGCAACCGGTAAAAAGAGTAAAAACGTGAACCAAATGAGAACCATATCACTGAAAAGGAGTGTGTGTGTTTGAGCCGTGCTGCAACGCTCCGAGCGACGACGCTACTCGCCCCTGTAACACTCGACCGAGTGACTCACTCGTGTGTGTGTTTGAGGTCGGTCCGACGCTCCCAACACACACAGCCCGACCAAAGCCCTGCACACAGGAGCGACAGAGCGTCGCCGGTGACCTCGAGTGTCCCTCCCCCCCCGACCACCCCCGTCCTCGAGGTTTGTGCGGCACATCCTCTCTCTCACTTATGTGTATGATATGTCTCTACGACATACTCTTTGGGTACACTCAAAACCTGTAACTTGTTAAATGAAACTTGTTAAATTTAGATAAGGTCATCTGGAGTGTTGACCAACGTACTAGTCATCTTTACCGGTGCATTATCCTTGGAAAATTCATAAAACAGAAAATATACTAAAACTTTATATCATCGGATTGTATCATGTGGACAGGACTAAAATAAACAAATTTTATTTTTATTTAGTTTTCAAAATTCTTCGATTTCACTCACCGTCTTCGTCCCTGTAAGAAATAATATTCTCGGATGTGCGGTTTCGAATATCAACAGAATAAAGGTTTGATTTCCCATTTGTACTTAATATTAGAATTTTTACGGGAAAAGTCACATGGTTTAGAACTTAGTCTTAGCTCAAATTAACTGTCCATGCAATATGTGTATTCCTTAACGAATGCACCTACCTATCCACGTTTGTATATTGTTGTATTGCTTTCTTAAACACGCTTCAGTTTACCCCACATCCCCTAATTTTTCCTTTACATTTTTCTTGCGTGGTGGACGTAATTTATAGTTTTCTTTGCAATTTTTTTTTGCCTCACACACTTGTATAGTCTCTCGGAAAACTACACTATCGACACATTTATTTCGCGAGGAAGTAAGTGTCCTAAGTCTATCAATGGTAAACGTGTCCACATGTCGTTATTCATTGTCCAAAATTTTTTTGTTTTTTTGTTCCACATCGTACATCTTCATCACACAATAGGTTTGGATACTTTGCTCACACACTGTAATGCAAAAAAAAAATGACGTGTTAGTCCGTGCACGTGTCCGTCTGTAGTCTCACCCGAACGCGGACCGGAAAAAGAGGAGGTCTCTTGCACGGGAAAAATACCCACGAAAAAAAGTTATTTTATTCTATATAGATACGACAAACACGTGTCAAAGGGAAAGTTTGATATAATAACTTATCTTTTATTGGGGTATAGTCCAGCCCTCTTAATCCTGACACTTCAAGGCCTACGAGGAGATGGGAGGGGGGAGGGAGGCTGTCGCCACGCCTGTCAGTAGCCGTCAGGGAAGTCTGGCCCTGTCCATCGCGTGGAGGGTGACGAAAGTCAGGGTAAAATCG